GCAATGACAGAATTCAAATGTTTACATTAGGACAAGTAAATGGAATTACAATAGCGGGGAACGGAGCACCAGAAATAATTTTGTCAGGATAGACACTTCCTTCTAACCAGATTACGATTCGACCATTCTGTCGATCAGCCACATAGAGAGTATTGTTAATGTTGACAAATAGACCATATGGGTCTAAACCAACTGTACTGGAATTAGCGAACGTAATACCATCGAGATACTAGGTTGTAGATGGACAGAAACTTGGTTGATTAAAGGAGAAAGCTAAACAATAAAATTAGAGTTAATTAAATACATATGAACTATTATCAACATATTATAATTTTATGAATCATTGAAATCTTTATTAATTATCTAAAAATTGTATTTTGATTAGAAAATTCTAATGTCTTCTTGGCTTTTCAAATCATTATCGAATTTTTTTCCTATTTGTCCAGGGCAAAGCGATAGGACTTTGTAGATTTATTTTATGATTGAATTGTCTAAAACAAATTACAAAATGAGATTGAGAGAACATGGAAGTAGAAATACTAACTTTTGAGCTATCTTACAAACACAAAGGCTCTTCATTATTTTAATCAGATATACATAGGAAATTTTTCAACTGTTCAATACGAGATATAAAAATAATGTTTCTTAATAAATGATTTATATGAAATTTTCATTCTAATACGACTAAAAGAAACTAAAAATCGTTTTAAAACCGAAATAGATGATGTATTATGGTTGATGGCTTGAGAACTGATCAAGCCGAAAATGTTTAGCTAGTTTTTGCTTTGACTATTTATCTCGATAGTATACTCACTGTAAGTCGTATTTGGTATTAAAATAAACTTTTGAACACGACTATTATCTCGATCAGTAACAAATATGTTTCCATAACTATCAAAACTAAGATGTGATGGATTATTTAATTGACTCGATGTTGAACCCGCGACAGCCGAACATCCAATTATACATCGAAAACCGTTCGGACTTTGTGCAACAATACGATGATGATAACTGTCTACAATAAAAAGATATCCATTACCATCAAGTACAACTCCACTAGGACAATAGAGTGAAATAGTTCCTGCCGCTGCATCCCCAGCTACAGTCATTGCGGTTACTTGTCCAGATTGAAAGAGTTGAACTCGATTGTTTCCACACTCCGCAACATATAAATTAAGATCAGTATCAACGAATATTCCACGAGGATAGTAAACTTGATTGGATGCTGATCCGGCGCAACCAGTACCAGCTGAGACTATCCACATGCTTGAATTACCGTTTAATGATTTTGTTGCAACTTGATGAACATAATACATTGAACAGTATAAATTATTATTAATATCAACAAAAATACCAAAACATTCCTGTTTAACGTACATTGCTGAACTACTTGTAGTTCCATTTAATATCCATTTGTCAACACGCTGATTTAAATTTCCATTATCAACATAAATATCACCATTGATTGTTACAAAAATACTGTAGGGAAGATATAAACCATTGGTGATATTTCTTGTAGGTATATTACTGCCTTCTAACCACACTTGAATTAGACTGTTAGCTTGATTAGCCACATAAACAGTATTGTTAACATCGACAAAAATCCCATAAGGAGCTGCCCCAACCGTACCAATACTTGCAAAAGTTATTGCATTACTACTCCACGAAGCATATGCACTGAATTTTGGTTGATTGTACGAAACAGCTAAAATAATACAGATAAGTAAGAAGTTTATTTTAGTTTTATTCTATATTTTTCTTTGCAACTCAAATAATAGTTTCTCTATGATACAGTAATTAGCGAAGGAATCTCTCGAAATCATCAAAATATTTTAAATTTATGACTTAGATCATCAGATTAATTTGTAGAAGATCTTTCACATCGAAATGGAAAAGATTGAATATTTTATTAAATTACTTTTTTGTATGTCAAGAAAATAGTAAAACGGTTATAAATCGAAAATGAGGTAGCAGAAAGAAGAAGTACCTCAAATTATAATATATCTGGTTTACTCTCGGTAGACTCTGTTTGATGACATAGATTTCGTTTATAAATATCTTTATCATCTAAAGAGTTTCTCTCGTAAGTAATAAAACATGATCATAATACCAATTTAATGGATTACAGAGTATTAACTAGATATTTCAGATTCGTAGATAATATTAGAATATAATTTTAGATTTTATGCTAACAAACTTTTTCTTAAGTCAGTTATTAGAACTGAATCATCTTTGACTGAACTATTTTCTATGGGAGCATATTCTATCGTCACGCTAATAGTTTCTTATACCTCATTGGTGGTAACTTGGTAACTATTTATTAAAATATGTATATGAATAAAAGCCATTTCATTCTTTCATTATTGCACCAAAACAAGAACAGAAGAAATTTTTTATGAGCGCAACTTCGTTAAAACAATGCTAAATTCACTAATCAAGAATATTAAGTTATTAGGTTACCGTTTGAATAAGATATGGATATTGATGAAGTAGTTTGTTGAATGGTGCTCATCGAACTTGTTACTAAAAATCAAAACACATATCATTCATAATACAGAAGAAAAATAAAAATATAAAATACCAGTGCTCATCGTTGTTGCTGTTGTCGCTCCATCTATAATTAAACAGATTCTCATTTAATAAATATGAATAATATTCACATTTCATCTCTAATTAATTGAACACTTCAATAAACTGAGTATGAATATAGTTTTTATGAATAACTCTATCAATGATTTTATTTTAACTAATAGAATCCCTCGCCAAAATGAATTTTATAGGTGTTTCTACAATTAACATATGACAACACTTACTGCATGAATTTGTTGACAAAAGAAACTTCTGAATTCTATGATTGTCTTGATCAGTGACAAATATGTTTCCATAACTATCAAAACTAAGAGTTAATGGATAATATAATTGACTAGATGTTGAATCAGCTCCAGAACATGCTGCTATGCATCGAAAACCATTCGAGCTCGAACCTATAATGCGGTGATAATAACAATCAACAATAAAAAGATATCCATCAGCATCAAGCACAACTGCAGTTGGATATAAGAGTGCGATAGTTCCGGGTGCACCAGTCCCTGCTAAAGTTATTCCGTTTAATTGTCCGGGTGGAAAAAACTGAATTCGATCATTTTCAGNATTCATCAACTTGATCTTATAAAACTCACAGTAGTTAAACAACAAAGCTTATAATTCGATCATTTTCACTATCTGCCACATACAAGTTCAAATTCGTATCAACAAAGATTCCACGAGGATTATAAAGTGATGCCGATGTTAATGCTACAACACCATTACCAGCTACAATAGTCCATGCATTTGAACCTTGTCTCTGTGAATTTGAAATAACTTGATGATAAGTAAACAATGAACAGTACAATGTGTTCGTGATATCGACAAAGAGACCATAACATTGTCCATACATATACATAGCTGGAATACTACTAGTTGTATTTGATGTCCATTTATCGACTCGACTATTCGAGTATCCATTATCAACATAAATATCACCTGTATCCGTAACAAAAAGGCTATATGGATAGCTTAAACCACCAGATATATTTTGTGTCGGCGTGGTACTTCCATTAAGTCATACTAGAACTGCATGGTTTGTTCGATGGGCTACATAAACAGTATTGTTTGCATTGACGAATATCCCTTGAGAATACGAGCCAACAACAGTGCTAGTTGCAAATGTTATAGCCGTCGAGTTTCATGTGGCATTAGGACACAATTTCGGCTGATTGTAAGATATTACTGAAAAAAGTAAAAAGAAAAGTTAGACTACAATCACAATAATCCTATCAAAATCCGATTGTTGAACTCATGCTCGAATTATAAGCTTTGTTGTTTAACTACTGTGAGTTTTATAAGATCAAGTTGATGAATTTAATTGAATATTTAGTGGATTTTGATTTCTTTGTTCGATTTCGATAATTTCGGGTCAGAACTAATAGGAAAACTGTAAAAAGTGGTCGACTTGCGTAGGCAGGAATATCATGTTCGATTTCAAACAGAAATAGTCAATAAGTATTTATCAAACTAAAAGTATCCATATTTTGTGTATAATTCATTCTGCATATTTTCTCCGACGAAATCCGATTTAGTGATTATGAACAGTTATTTACCTGATACTTGATCAATAGTCAACAGAAAAAGAAACAAGCATATATTGATAAAAGTAAATAATGTCATTTTTAATATCTAAAAATACAATCGATTTTTCATATAAATCAATAGTAATATTCATTGACAAAATCAAACGTCTATATTTTTTGATCACTTTTTGTTCTACACATTTACAAGAACATGATTTTAAACAAAGGTTTCATGATAATCTTACACTAAATGTGTTGCATATGTGGTTATCCTACTGTTATCTAATATTAATGAAATATCTCAATGGATCATCTTTCTTTTGAGATTTTTTATTTTTTTTAGCAACTAATATTGTCTACTATACAATATTGATAATCCATGATTACTAATTGCATAGATCTGAATAGAGAAATCATCAAAATATTTCATTAGTTTCACATCTACATAACAGAATATACACAACTTGTTAATATTTTTCTATTCAATCTAAATAATTAATTATTTTAAAAAAATGTATATACTGTCAGAGCAATTCTTATTACGAATAAATTTAATAATATAATCTTCACAGAAAAACAGTTTTATCTGTTGAACTTAATAGTAATATATACATTATTCTACCTTAATAAACTAATTATCTATCATAATCGATACAATAATTGAATGATCATTTCGAAAAAAAAAAAGATGGATCGTCGGTAAAGAAGTTAAGTAAGAAAACACTTTACAAATTATACTACGAATATGCTCTCGGAGAAAAGAAAGTCACTTTGAACATACGATCAAACTGTATGTTTCCTTTAAATGGAAACTAATATTGTGATTTTTTTAACAAGAACATGATGTTACAAATAGAGTAGAACAACAACAAAGATATTTATGTTTTTGTGAGACATTTCTTAATAAATATCATGTTATACTTAGGTCTGACCAAAAGTTCTGCAATTTAAAAAGAAAAAGTTAAAGAAAAAGAGAAAGTTCGAGTTTTATTTTATTAAATGTTCAAAATAGTCTCCATGATTATTTATACAAAGTTCCATCTTTTCTAACAGTTTGTCAAAAGTTTTTTTATATTCTTCTTCTGGAATATTTTTCACCACCTTGGATACCGCACGAGCTAATGATTTTTCATTTAGTTGATCAGTTAAATTATGCTTGATGCAATCATTTAGCCAATAATCACACGGTGCAAGGTCAGGTGAATATGGTGGATGTGGCATTATATTGATACCTTCTTCTGTTAAATAATTAATAACATCATAATGAATATGGGGTCCAGCATTGTCGTGAAGCAATTTGATACCTTTTGTATCTGCTGACCTTCTTTGTTTCAATATTTCCTTGACAACGAGCTTGAGGCAATTTTCAATATAGTAGTTGTGATCTATAGTCTTGCCTTCATCAACACAATGTATAAGAACGGGACCATTCGATTTAAAGAAAATAGAAAATAAATTTTTTGATTCAAATTTGCTTCGACGAACTACAGTAGTTGGTGATTCACCATCGCCGATCCAGCTTGCGTTCTTTGACTTGTGATGAATCTGTCTATGATAAATCCACGTTTCATCACCTGTTATAATATCACATAATCGCCAGGAACCAGTTTGAAATTTCGCCAAATTTTCACGACAAAGTTGAACTCGTTGTTGTTTTTGTTCATCAGTTAGTTCA